AAAAATAGATCTAAGAAAGTTTCCTTAATTTATCATAAACATTTCATCTTTCTAAAGTTCTTTTTCATTATATCTGGCCTTCTGGGTCCAGTAAGTGAAGCTGACTTTTATAGAAAATTACTCCTATACCAAATACTACTTTCCCATGGGAATGTCTGCACATAGCTCCTGATTGCTCAATACAGACCTATCATATAAAATTAAAATGTTGCAACTTGATCGGAATGATGCACTCTTGCCTTATATAAAAATACAAATCACAGTATGCTGACACTCAATAACTTCAGCTTTAATTTACTAGCCTAAGGGGATTAAGAAGATACTATAAAATTTTAGTATAGCAAATATCATGGATGTAAAACAAACCTGCACAAGAATTTATCAGAATGACTATAAAGAAACGAAAACTAAATACACATACCTGGCCCCACAAGTATCTGAATATTAATACTAATCTGAATATTAAGACTCACTTTAGTGTATACTAGTTGAACTTTATCCTGCACTATCTTGATGGGGTTTTGCCATTATCACATACTTCATGTTATACTAATAAAAGGATTTAACATTTTCTTTTTTAAAGATTTTGAGAGAGAGAAAGAGAGCACAAGTCGGGGCGGGAGGGGGGGGGACAGGTAGAGGGAGAAGGAGAAGCAGACTCCCTGCTGAGCAGGGAGCCTGACGTGGGACTTGATCCCAGGACCCTGAGATCCAATGTCCTGTCTGCATTCTTCCTAGCCTCTTAGCTCAGGTTTTCAAAAATAGTAATTTCAAATGCAGTTGCAGTATCCATTGTGTTGGGAAAGCCCTCCCAGCCCTTGCCCCTGGGGCTCATCCTGCAGACACCCAGCAGCCCCTAATTTAAGGAGACCATTCTGGATGGGTGCAAATGCTTTATTCAAGTTCCACCTGTCTCCAAACCCCAATTAGTTACACAAGTTTTTTATTATATATGCTCTTCTTCATATTTATGGTATAGCAGATTAAAATGGTGGAGGAAAGGCAGAAGGATCCTAGTTGTGATTATTTTCTTTAACAAGATGGAAATAAAAGATGAGAAAATCTAATAGTATTTTAGCCAGGTACTATTAAGTGTCCCAGTTTTTAAGATTATAAATTCACAATAGTGAATACACTAGTGACTACTTTTAAATAAAACACTGAATAATTATGTGCTATAAAAATCATAGGCTCACAATTTCAGCTTGGATTTCTCAGCTTATTTAATGCTGTCTAAAAATCAAGCAGGTAATGAAAACTACATGTTTTGACCATGCATTATAGGAGACAATGTAGTGAGACTCTAATAAGGCCAGTCACTTAGAAAAGTTAGCGCCTTTATCTGATATACTCAGGCTCCATAAAATGGTCATGGATGCAGGCTGTACTGGAATTTAACTTCTGCAATGCTACTTTATAAATCTGACTGAAAGCTTTTTGGAGTCCAGATGCTAAGCCCTAACAAAAGCAAAATGGAACTATGGTCTACACAGTATTACTCTTATTACTATTCTATTAAGCACCACACATATATATGGTGTTCGGCATTCTCTTTTGAATTAGAGAACTTCTAGAATCACAGGATTTGAGAGCTGGGAAGAATTTAGAAGGCACTGATAGAACTCCTCACTTTCCACTTGAGAACAGTGATGGGGCACTACTCAAGGAAGTCAGCATTTGTAAAGCACCCAGGCACAAGGGGCTGAGCACTTCTGGCTTCACTATTTTATTTCAGATTAAATAATTCCCCCCAAATCAGTTTTGTTAACGGGTAAAAGGGAAAATCCAGCTTCAAAGTTAGTGCTCTTTCCTCAGGATAAGTATTCACAAAGTGTGGCCATGGGACCAGCACCAGGGGCATTCCTAGGAAACTTGTCAGAAATGCAAATTCCCAGGCCTCCCTCCAGACCTATTCACTGTGGGGAGGGGGGGCAGCAAGCCCTGCAGGTGATGCTGACACATGCACAGTGAGAGCCACTGCTGCTTAGCAGTGGCTAAATTTAATTTGAAGAATATATATTAAAGTATAATCTTATACTAAGCTACTACAAATGTATTGTTATACTTTATACCAGAATAATTAAGACAAGGATAGCCTTCAACAAAATTTTGTTTTGATGTTACATGGTCTAACTGACACTGAATTTTTTCAAATGTGAAAGCTATTCCAAATAAGCAAATACTGGTAATAAGATTCTAAAGAACTGTTTTCACCTTGTGTCAAAAGATTCTTGAAACAGAAATCTGTCTGCCTTTCAAGGACCCACCGAAATTAATACTCTTGCCTGCCTGACTGACTTTATTATTACTTGCTATAATTAAAACTAGGTATAGAAAAACCAAGTAGAGAAATACTGAAGGCTTAGTATGTAAGGATCTAAGTTAATAAAAGTAGCTCTGAAGAATGAAATCATATATAAAATTAAAAACTAAAAATTTCATGAAGTGCCTTGTTAAAAGTTTCAATTTTAAAAAGTTTCACTTTAAAAATTCCAAGTTGGAAATTTTTCTTTTCCAACTTTGAAGTATCATGAAGGACATGTTGTCTTTATCGGAGTACTTCTCCACTGCAAATTCCCAACTCAAAAATAATTCACATTCACCTTACCAAAAACTCAGAATGTTCTCAATTAGATATTTTTAGCATTTCAGCAAATAGGCCTAACCAGAGTACTAATGACTTTCTATAAGTAATTCTTCCTTAAATATGTCAATGATTTCATTGTTTGACATTCTAGTAGTTAATGTATATTGCACATGAGAAATTTCATAGGAAAGCATTGTTTTAAATGCAATGACATGGGAGCGCCTGGGTGGCACAATCGGTTGAGAATGACTTTGGTGTTGGCTCGGGTCCCGTTGTGATCTCAGGGTCTTCAGATCAAGCCCCACCTCGGGCTCTGTGCTCAACATGGAGTACACTTGAGACTCTCCCTCTCCCTCTGCCCCTCCCCTTTCCTCCACCTTGGGCTCTCTCTCAAATGAATAAATCTTTAAAAATAAATAAATGCAATGACATTAAAATGATGCTTAGTTTTTATATTTTTTAAAGATTTTATTTATTTATTTGAGAGAGAGAGAATGAGAGATAGAGAGCACGAGAGGGAAGAGGGTCAGAGGGAGAAGCAGACTCCCCGCTGAGCAGGGAGCCCAATGTGGGACTCGATCCCGGGACTCCAGGATCATGACCTGAGCCGAAGGCAGTCGCTTAACCAACTGAGGCACCCAGGTGCCCAAAATGATGCTTAGTTTTTAAAATATATAAACCAGAATTTTTCGAGATAACCAAAAATCAGGATGAAAATAAGGTGATCTACTAAGAGTTAAAGTTAATAAACATTTTTCAATCATCATGCAATCTTTATGCTGGATGGCAAAACAGAAAAGCTTCACATTAATATAACAGTAAATTCCCAACAGTCATTATTTGCTTCTAATTTGTAATGAACCCCTCTTCTATCCTGCTTATTAAAGGCTCTTAAGATTTAAAGGGAAATTTCCTGTGTCCATACAGTACACAAACTACAAAACAAAACTTTTGTAGAGATAGATGAGGCTGATACTATTTAAAAAGGGAAACGGGGACAGACAGTCTAAAAATTACAAGTCTATAAAAAAATATACCTCAGTATATCTAAGAGAAATTTTTGGTACACAACAGACATACTAAAACAGAAACCTAACTTCAAACTCTGTAAATTGAAAATCTTCTGTTAGCCATGTCACCATTTAAAAAAAAAAAATCACACAATCTTAGCTACATGAATTAAATCTGCAGATGTCACAAATACTATTTATGTATTTCTGTTAATTCTTCCTAAAATATTATTTAGTAATAAAGAATATTTCAAAAGGAAAGGAGGGAGAAATGAAGCAGGATTATAACAACTAGAATTGCTTAAAATAAAAATAACATTTCATTTATTTGCTAATATGATTCTGGAAAAAATATCTTCTAATTAATTCCTACTTTATCCTTCTTTAAAGATATTTTGTCTCCTCAACCAGCACACTGAGGATTAGTGCTACATACCTTACTATACTGACTTATGAAAACCCTTGGCTTCCTGAGAAGTCATACTTTGCAACCCCAAACTGGCTCTGCATGATTGACTTTAATAGGGATATTAACAATTCTTCCTGAAACATGGCTGTATACCTTTGAGAACATTCACATTTAACCTTGTGAGCTCACTTCTACAGAAACAGTAAATTTTATTTATCAGCTACCAGGGAAAAATCAGTTTAATGTAAGGAATTAATTAAGCCAGCCTGATAGAAGCCAATATATCAATTTCTTAAAAACTTAAAATTTATTTAAAGGACTAAGTATAGGTGCATTGCACATACCTAACGGCTTTTCGGAGCTCCAAAATGCATTCATCTAAGCACTTGTAAGTGCTTCATTTTTCAGTTTTGTTTCAGTAGAGAGTCTGATGTTCATCAAACATCAAGTCTGACAAAACAGCAAACTTCCTTCAATTAAGGTCATAATTTGAAAATTACTCAACAGTGGGATTTAAATTACATATAGGAAGAAAAGTAGAAGACTGAAAGAAGGTATCAGAAATCGCTATTTGGTCTTTAGATTCAGAAAAATGACTGTAGGCCAACACTGCTCTAACAGAGGAAGGACATGAGCAGTTACCGGAATGTAACCCTCCAACATTTCCAAAGGCCGGAAATGCTGTTGCTGTGATCTGAGGGCCTTGACACCTACATTTCTGGGAAATCACAGAATGGAAGTAATCCACAACTCTATTGAGAGGATGAACCCTTAACTACAAAGGTGCAGGAAGGAAGTCCTCAATTGCTTACTCTTCATGACTGCAGTATTCAAATAAAAAAATCATTCAGACAAAACTTGGCAGAAAAGGTAATAGGCGAGCAAAGCAGCAATAATTCATACTTGCAGTTAACTGATTTAATGATGCTTTCTTCTACAAAGGTTCTTAGATTAAAACACACACAAAACAAAACAAAACAAAACAAATCCCAGCAGCCTAGTGGAAGAAGTCCTCCGCAAGATCTATCCAGCATGTTAACTAAGGCTGACTGAGTCCTGAGTGACAACACCTGATCTGTATGACACGTGAATACAGAGCAATGAATAACCAAAAATCTCTAAGTTCAATCTCATCTCCTACCATTTTTAAAGAATAATTTAAAAGTTGAATTCTACCTTCACTGTTTCAACGATCTTACCCTGTAATTTGCTGAATGTATTGGTGAGCTGTCAAACAGCAAAAACAGAAAGTAAAGTATCTAGATAATAAACCTCAACTGAAATTAGTCTTTGAGCAATTGAAATGTTACTTCATTAAGTTCTTTTTAAGAAAAAAATTCCTTAGAAGTCCACATTCTTTACACGCCTTTTCCAAGTCAAGGTAACAAAATCAGTATTACTTTCAGCTTAATAAGAATTATTGGTGGCGCCAAATAGGAGAACAGCTGTTTGTTTTTTAAACTTAATATCATAAACAGTCTTTTAAATTAATATAAAAGTTCTCACGACAAGCAAAAAGATGGCTAAACTCCATTTTAGACTCACGGTAACACCAAAACAACTTTAAGAATGTAAGACAAACTGAAGCTAAATACTGCAGAGGGAATTTAAAAAGTCAGAACTCTTAAGAAATTTTGAAGAGAAATGCACTATTCTGACATAACTTGAAAAGGAAATGGGTGATTCATCAAAAGTCTAGATGAATCCAGAGACATGTTCATCCACTGATGTTCTACAGTGAACAGGGGCAGTTGCACAAGAAGTACACATAAAAGCTAAGCTTAAGAGTTGTAATTAAGAGTATTTTATATTTAAGCTCGGTAGAGGAAAAATTCAAATGAAATTTTTAAAGTAGAATCTCTTTCTACCTTCTTTGGTATTTTAGCCATTAAACATTTATTTAGGAAAACTAGAGGCATCCAGATCTAGAATAATTGGGCATTTATATACGAAAAAAAAATCAGAAACCAATTAATAGATCTGTCATACACAAATACATATATATAAACATTTTATTTTAATAATACTTTTTCACTTCAATTTAAATCATTCCATTATGAAAACGTCTTAATTGAAGAGAGAATATTTCTTCAAAACTCTATAATTAAGCAGAGCTTTATCCATTAAATTTATAGCAACAGAGCCTTTAGAAATACATAATTCTTCATTTTACAGTAATACTTCCCCTTTAAAAATTTGTCATAGTTTATCACAGATTTAAAATACAAGGCACCTAATGCTAGGAAAGGATAATACAGTTTATGTAGTGTGAGTGAACCAGACGTTTCTCAAATATGGATTCTCCTTAAAGTCCCACTAAATTTACATGGACACATTTGCATAAAATTAAGCATTTTTTCTGTGTTGTTAATTTGCAATATTCTATGAAACTCAAAAATATAATCCGTACCTATTATAGGCAGCTTACTTCATCACTTTATCTGTTAAGAAACACTGATCTATATACTTAAATGATTTCTTGAAAACATTTTCATAATATAGTCCAGCATTTAACAAATAATATGTGAAAATAAAGTCTCCAGAACATCAGAATTTTATTCCTTGATTAGTTCAAATTATTTCATCAGCTGAATTCCTTGAGATGTGTAAGGCAGGTTGGTCCTTTAGAGGGACTGTGGATTGGAAATTCCTATAACTGTAGTGATATGTACACAGCTACATAGCAAAGTACTTCATTATGAAATGAAGAAAACAGATATGAGGAAAATATATTTTAGAGTTCCAAAGAACTGAAACTGTTATTTTTCAGACTAGGCACTGAAACATTTCCTACAAAAACTTGCCAGAGATTGTCTCTTCGCTGCATAATGTTCCATTATCAAGCTAAAAATAAAAACAAACACACAATCATCATTAGTTTCCAACTGTCATAGCCTTAATTTTCTAGTTTATATTGCAAAAAGCAAATTATCTTAACATTGAAATATATATCAAACACAGTTTATGTACTTAACAGCTGGTTAGTGGAACTGGAGGTGAGTACTAAAAACTCATAGAAGTTAGTTCCATACTAATGTCGAAGGCTGACAGGCAATGCTGCTCTAAGACTGCATAGTAAGTTTTATCCATGGCATACTCCATCATTACCTCATGGAGACAAAGACTCCTGCCACACCTGTCCTTTACATGTTATTGTAGTCCATCTTCACTATATCCCCATTATCCAGCTCTCACTTCCAAAAATATTGAGTCCTTGCCTGGGTAGGGGTGGGTATGAGTGTGAACATGGGAATAATGCACAGCATACTAGGGAGATTATGCATAAATTATAGTACTAAAAAGCTTTAAAGAATGTATGTATTTTTTTAACTTGAAGATGGCAAGTAAACATATTTAGTTTCACTCTGTCCCCAAAAGCTCAGTAGAAGGACAATAAAGGGATTTTTTTTTTTAAAGGAATAAATCACATGGACAAAGAGAAGAGCAGAGACAAGAAAACAACAGCCAACCAGATAGCTCTAAAAGGAGGGGTGAAGAAACAACTAAAAACAGGAAAATTAGCATGGTTTACAGAAAAAGCAGTTAGACATTCAGATGCCCTGCCTTACTTTTCACAGCTCGTCAAGTGCCTCTTCTCCATCCCAGGAGAAGATACGAGGTGTATTCTCTAAAAGGGGTAAATAGAGGGTCTCTGGACTGGGGAAAGGCCAGGCACAATCCAACATGACTCAGGTAAAAGTAACATTTATATAATCATAACAAGGTAAACACTGCTTATAGAGCTATCCAGAAGTATACAATAACTATACAGGGATTAAGAGGTGGGAAGGCAGGCAAATGGGGTGGAAGTAGAGGAGGGAGAAACTTGAAACTAATCTATTCTCATCTACCAAAGTGGGAAAATCGACTGATGATGCCTAAAGGGGGGGCGGCAGGGATCAAAACAACTGAGAGTTTAAAGTGCTTCCTCAGAGTAGGACAAGAACTGAAGCAGGACAGGCAGTGTGGGGCAGGTGGCAGATGCTTTGTACAAAAAATTTGTAGAATTCTAATTCTCTGCTGAACTATGTGCACATATAACCATCATAACAATAAACGCTAGAATAAAAAATGACCAAAGAAACCCAGAACCAAGACAATTAGCCCTAGGTTAGAGGTGAATTTGCCATGAAGACAGTTGACACTTAAGACTCAAAGACCAATTTGAGTGCAAGGAGTCGACAGGAGTTGTTCAATGTTCTAGGTGAGGAAGGGGAGCTCAGCTGCTATCAGGAAACATTTCAATATAAAAGGGACCTGAATCTCTCGAATTTCAGTAATTTACTGTGATCTCTCACTCTAAATGAATACATAACCACTTTTATACATGCCAAAGATATATGTTGGATGTATTTCAAGCATTCATTCAGTGAAAGATAAAATATCATGTACTCATTTGTCATGTCATAAATATAAAAGATAATATTTCTTAAAATTTTTTAAGAATGAGGAAATGTTCTTGAAACATTAAGTGAAAAAGCACAAAGAATCAGGATATCCACTATGTTAGTTATGGAAAACACACACACATATATATAGAAAAAAGACTGGAAATACACCAAAATAATACATTTTTTACTTTTATACTAGGGGAAAAATATTTTTCTAAAATGTATCATTACATAAAATGATGATTCTTAGCATGAATAAAAGTAATAAACTTGGCATCGTTTCATCTGCACACAGTTTAAACTTACCAAGCATTTAATACTTCCTATAAGCTTAAGAGAGGGACTACTGTAACCCCATTTCACAAATAAGAAAACTGAGGCACAGACAGGTTAATAACCTTGCATAAGATCACACAGCTAGTACAGGGAGAAGCTAGAATTGGAACCCAGGCAGTGTGACTCTAGAGCTTGTCCCTTACCCTCTAGACTATACTGCCCCTGAAAAAGCTAATTAGGGAAAACCAATTCTGTATTTGATCATTACAGGAATAAAGAATCTTATTCAATACTAATGCCAGTTAACGTACAAACCTGGACTACAGACAACAGCTAACTAGCTCCATCCTCCTGAGAAACACCGTGCATAGGAATCAGACTCTCGCACTGTTCACTGTCTTCTGGAACCCTTAAAAAAAAAAAAAAAAATTAAGACAATAGTTAAGGAAAGCTTTAGAACTGAAAGGAGCCCTTAAAAATGATCTATTCCATTGTCTGAATCTCTGAGGTCAGAATTAAGATTAGGGCAAGATTTCCCAACAACTTGCCCCAAGTTCTTTTTATAATAGGATATAAAAATAAAAATCTTTTCAAAAAGAAAGAAATTGAGGGCGCCTGGGTGGCTCAGTTGGTTAAGCGACTGCCTTCGGCTCAGGTCATGATCCTGGAGTCCCAGGATCGAGTCCCACATCGGGCTCCCTGCTCAGCGGGGAGTCTGCTTCTCCCTCTGACCCTCTTCCCTTTCGTGCTCTCTATCTCTCATTCTCTCTCTCTCAAATAAATAAATAAAATCTTTAAAAAGGTTATTTAAAAAAAAAAGAAATTGAAAAAAATTTGAGGCAGTGTTATATTTTATTATAAATTTTATTCACACCAGTGAAAGTTTTCAACATTTAAATTCATTACAGAAAAACAGTAAGCACTTAGTTTTACCTGTAAATCAAAACATTTTTTTAAAGTAGTTGTTTTACCACCCCAAGGATCTGAACAACTTATTTTACCTGGCATACACATACAAATTATAATCTTTTATTATTTCTTCACAAAATGTCTAAAAATTAGGCCAGCGTATGATTTCCAGTTTATTTAGCAAGGAGTGTATTTTTTAAAACTTATATTGGAACCAAACCTACCTCTGAATTCGATGTTTTCTGCATATAAAGGCAAAAATTCTTCTGATTCCCACCATCACAGGATCCCAATTATTATAATGGCATAAGAGAGTCACAATAAAAAATGAAAAAAATACAGGGATAGCGCCTGCAAAAAATAACCAAGAAAACTGCACCTAAAAATAAAAGATAGAAAAACAAAAACAACCCACAATTATTAAGACAATTTTCTCCTTTAATGTAAGTTTTCCATTTATGAGAATCTGCAGGAATAAGTTAAAACACTGAGAATACTAAGCACTGACAGTATATTATTATATTATCAAATATGAGGATTCAGAACTTCAACGTATGATTCCACTTGCTTACATTACCAAAATACGTCTTGCTTAGGAAAAGGCCTAAAGGAAAGCCAGAAGGCATGCTTTTCATTTATTAAGTGTAGTACATCTGAGAGCAGAATTACAAAACGTTAAGCTTTGTCTTCCACATCACAATGACCATTTTTTCTTTACTGATTACTGCTGACTCTCAAGTAGATCCTCCCCACTTCAGTTTCTAAAGTCACTTTCAAAAACTCACATTTTTAAAAAATATGTTACAATATGCTGTGATATGCTGTGATATGTTACAGTTCCTTCTTGAAGACAGCACCAAAAACAGATCAACTCTTAAGTGTAATTTTTGCAAACCTTTTATTAACAATTTGCAACAAATTCTAATCCTGACTCTTAAAACTAGTTTGTTTCTGTAGTAACAAATGAAAAATTTCAAAAGGAAATCATGCTAAGTAAAATAAAGATGACAAACAGGACTACTTTTATTAAGAAATGTGAGCCAGAGAAGACAAGCAGCAAGCAGAACCCCAGTGGTGAGGAGCCCCTCAGATATCATCAAAATCCATCATTTTATCAGGAAGAAAATTAAAAATAATGAGATGCCATAAAGTGAAGAAAAAAATCATTCTTTCCTTTCATGAGTTTACCTTTACCATCTAGGTTCAGCAAAGATCAAAAACAATTGTCAAAGAAGACTGCACGGATTGAGACTTACTGCGACCCACTGGTGTGATCTGCTTTCAAATAATGATAAAAATAGTAACTCCTATCTCTAAAATAGGAAAGAAAAACTGTTTTTGCCCTCTTTAAGTGTTAAAAAAAAGTGAGGTTTAGAATCACAGGCAAGACTCCCTCTGGTGGGTGCTACTCTATTTCACAGCACCATTAGAGTAAAGGGGTTTTATGAGAATATTTTTATGAGGGACTCAAATGCCTAACACAAGAATAATCACTGACAACTTGTAACATACATGTCCTGCTTGTATGATACACACACAGGCTGTCAGTCTAAGACCCAGGAAAGAGCAGTTAGTAAGAGAAACTAAAAACCCTTCACATTGTTATCAAATTACGGGTATAACATATTCTGGGAATATTTGCCAGAATATATATATAATCAAGAAAAGCCACGATGCACTTAAAGTGCACCCAAGACCAGAAAAAGTATTAAAATTATGACTAATGAGAGTTAAAAATGCAGATATAGTTGGTAAGAGTGGCTTCATGAATATTCAACTAAAACCCTACTTTATAACTGAGTAAAAGCAAACTTTGTAAAGGTAGGTAAAACCCTCCCTAGTTGATTGTTAAAGACAAAGTTCACCTGTAACAATGCAGTTATTTATGTTGCCACATAATAAAAAACGTCTAATTGGATTTCCAACAAGCTATGAAGACAATTTTTCAAAATGAAGACATTTATTAACAAAATATTGTCTACATTACAAAAAATATCTAAAACCTGAATATATCTGAATATAAATCTGAATACAATTAGAGATGCTTCCTATCACACAAAATATCAATTATATTAAATAGGTTAACAATTTATTTTAGGCACGATAAAAGATATTGATAACTGCTAAAATTTCAGAAACTATATATAAATACAGTTAGCTATTAGAATCAAAAAACCCCATGAAAGTAGATTTCTCCTGTTTTTTTGTTTTTTTCACCTGGTTTATTTGAAAGAGAGAGACAGAGACAGGGACGGAGAGCAGGAGCAGAGGGGAGGAGCAGAGAGAAAGGGAGCTAAGCAGGGACCCCGACGCCAGGCTGGATCCCAGGACCCTAGGATCATGACCTGAGCCAAAGGCAGCTGCTAAATTGACTGAGCCACCCAGGTGCCCCTCTCCTGTTTCTATTCAGCTCTGGGGCACACCCGGTCACTTTTCCCAGAAGGTATCTTCCTACCCTCAATTCCCACCCACCAAAGGCCCACCCCCGACTCATTTAACTGGTTCTCTAATTCTAGATGTGAAGACAATAGAGAAAGCCTAGTTATGTTTTTGTAATTATTCAGTCATTTACTTATTTTCATTTTCCCTTTTCTTGTGTTTTGCCCTATCTTAAAATATTTGATTAAACAAATTACATAATCATTTAATAAAATTAGATCCCCTGACAGTTTAAAAAAAAAAATCCTAAAATTAACTTTCAATTTTTATTTTTCAAATCTGCAAAAGCTGATGTTTTCAAAATATAGTACAGAAAAATTCATTTACACAGCAGTCTACCAAAATCCTCTAACAACAACACTTTTCCAGTTTCACTAGAGCAAGTTTGATTGATATTCAAGATCCTGAGATGTGGGAGGACCTGAATATTATTCAAATCTGTAAAGAATCTAATGACGTGTAACTTTAGTGTTATGTCCATTTATAATATTCACATTCTTTGAAAATGTATGGTACATAAGATAATTCTCAATTAAGGAGAAGCTCTCTGTTTTTAACCATGACAAATAAATAAGAATTTACTGAGCCATGAAACAAAGTAAATACCAGCACAGAACTGTTTTTTAAGTAAAGAGAATACATATCACTTAGACTACTTTGCCTTTATCCTAAGAACGGCACAAAGATCTAAAGAAAAATCGCTTTAAAAATCTGATTATAACTTCTACATATTATAAGCCTTTGGGCTTTCAAGTATTTCCTCTTCAAAATTTTATTAAACCAAACCACACACACACATACACCCACATACCATTTTGTTACTTAATACTTGGGAGTTCAGGGGAGCCTGGGTGGGTCAGTCAGTTAAGCATCCAATTCTTGATTTTGGCTCAGATCATGATCTCAGGGTTGTGTCACTGAGCCCCATGTTGAGATAAAGCCCTGTGTCAGGCTCCAGGTGGGCGTGGAGCCTCCTTAAGATTCTCTCTCTCTCCCTCTGCCCCTCCCTGCTCGTACTATTTCTCTCTCTTAAAAAAACAAAACAAAAACTCAAAAGTTTGTAAACTTTGAACTGTGTGATAAATGACTACATCTTTTAGTACTGTATATATGGGATGCCTCTTTTCTCTGTTAACCCCCAGAAGCACTAAAGAAACTCCTCCCTTCATGCTGTGGGGAGGGATTCTCTTTTCCATGATGTTATCATTGCCAATGTTTATCATAAAAATCCCTGCATCCTTGGGGCACCTGGGTGGCTCAGTCGCTAAGCATCTGCCTTCGGCTCAGGTCATGATCCCAGGGTCCTGGGATCGAGCCCCACATTGGGCTCCCTGCTGCGCGGGAAGCCTGCTTCTCCCTCTCCCACTCCCCCTGCTTGTGTTCCTTCTCGCGCTGTGTCTCCTTCTGTCAAATAAATAAATAAAATCTTAAAAAAAAAAAATCCCTGCATCCAGACCAGGACATCATAGAAGAGGGACAGAGCACCTGCCCTCCTAAGTCCAGACAGAAATGAGCATTTGCTAAGAAACATTATTCCTATGTTGCTCATATCTGTAATAGTATCACAGTATTAAGGAATCTTTGGAATTTATCCTAGAAATCAAAACACTACTACTTAAATAATAAAATATATCCCATCCCCTATTCTATACCACTGACTTACCAATGAAATGTGGAATAATCAGCTCCAAAACTGGAGAACTACATATAAAGATACTGTCCTTAACTTAGAAATTAAGAAAAAAAAAAAAAAGTTAAAAATGTAAGAGATTATTCATTTCTTTGGTACTTTTGATATATCTATATAGTAAAGCACCTTAGAGAGGCAGAGCAGGCATCAACTATTATTCATGGTTGTACTGCTTATAATTTAATCACATGCCCTAACTTTCATTATCTCCATTTTAAAAATTCATCTAAAATAGGGGTGCCTGGGTGACTCAGTTGGTTAAGTGTCTGACTTTTGATTTCAGCTCAGGACATGTCATCAGTGTCATGAGATCAAGCCCCACATGGGGCTCCACTCTCAGCGGGGAGTCTGCTTGAGATTTTCTCTCTCTCCCTCTGTCCCTCCCCCAACTCATGCTCTCTTGCACATGCTCTCTCTCAAAAAATTCATCTGAAATATCTAATAAACAGTTTGCCTTACCTTTTGCATACACATGTCAGCTATTATGGACAGAGGTATTGTAAGGCTTAGTGCAAGTGTGCCTATCAATGATGAGGTAAGAAAGCAGCCCCTAAAAAGGAAAAAAAGAAAATATACATTTCCATATTAAAAAAGTAAAGCAACCAAAGAAAATATAGGCATGAAAGATCAGGAATAAAGACAAAAGCTTAGGACAGACTGAGACACAGTAAAGTAACTACGATGATTCTTAAAGTTCACCTTCAAATATAAAAAATCCAAATATATAAGAATAAAACTGTCCAAGTACTTTCTGTGTATATATATATATACACACACACACACTTATGCTATTTTCAAGATATACTTACAGATATTAATCAACTTCAGATGTACAGCTTCTATTTCATTAACATTTTTTATAAAACTTAGCTAACAAAGAAAATAGCTTTATTAAACTGCAGGACAATACTTCACAAAACAGACTTTTAAGAAAGTGATAAGCCAACTTACGAGTCTGTGACCAAAGCAAAAATATCTTACCCTCATGAAAACTAAAATAGTCTTCAGATCTGTGTTGCTCCTTTGGTTTGGCTTAGCATTGAAAAGAACTGAAAATGTTTTAAGGATACTTCCTTGTTGCTTTCCTTTTTTCTAGCAATTGTCCTAACCAAAACCTAAGTTCTTCATTTTATTTTCACCTTGAACTATCAATGTTGGTATCAAATTCTGAAATATCATTCTGCACATAATTTTATTTAGTTGAAGGAAAAAAATGAAAGGAAGCATTATACCAAATAGATAAGCCATTTATACAGACTAATAATTTGAGTGTATAAAAAGAAAAAAGGGGTGCCTGGCTGGCTCTGTCAGTAGAGCATGACACTCTTGTTCTCAGGGTCATGAGTCTGAGCCCCACACTGCAGGCAGAGGAAGGAAGGAAGAAAGGAAAGAAGGAAGGGAGGAAGGGAGGGAGGGAAGAAGGAAGGAAAGAAATTATAAGCCAAGATAAAACCAAAATGTATATAATAAGGACTACAGACCCATGGAAATTCTAGACTAGTAAATTCTAGCTCGGTGTTATGATAGAATTAATACTGTCCTGCAATAAAAGAGCCTATCTCTCGATAAAGTGTCACTCAACATATTCAACAGAGGCTGTACCATTAGTTCTTATCAGTACAGTAAAGAGAACTCAAACATTAGTGGTTCCTACTACATGAGGTGCTCTGTGAAAAGACAGTTCAGGAGGTCAATTTTTTTTTAATGTGGCGTATGTTCTTAGAGATTTATAACACAAAGTACAGTCATGAAGAGTCTGAAACAAAGTATTAAGAAGAAAACTGTTTGACTTACACCAGCTGTTCCCAATTTAGCTGATGGTTGAATCCTTTTGTCATCTATTATCATTTCAGGGACACACTTTAGGAAATGCTGAGACAGAGAACTACGTGCTATCATTCAACATCTATACAAATGGTACAGTATATGGGTTTAATAGTGCACCTCAATTTTTTTTAAATAAACAATGAGTGACAACTACACATCTTTAATTTACAAAGCAAGCTCACAACCACACTTTGAAATCTGTAGCTTACTACTCAGCACTTGGATTATGTATGCTTAAGTGTCCTGTACTTTTTATAGTTAAACATACAATAGCCCTGATTCCCGCCCCCCTCCGCAAAAAAGGGAATCGTCCTACATGCAGATTATAGCTTCTGATTTAAATGTGTATTTTCTTATGATTTAAAAAGATGTAAAATTATAGAGATACGCTTCTTACACTTGTTTTGTTGCCAAGAACACCCAGAATTTAAGGGATATGTTTGTTTCATTACTGACTGATTTACTGCTACTGAGCTGTTACCATTAGTACTCTTAATCACTTGAGTGTCAAAGTATATCTGAAAAATAAACCTTCTTGAGGTCCTGAAAAATCCATCCTAGGTAAGGATAAACATAGCTTTTATCATAATATAGGACTACGAGTGTCCAATTTAACTATTCTACAATACATACTCATATACACAGTTGGGAATATAAGTTGTGTTCCCGCCATGGGGAATGATACTGCAATTCTCTATCAAAATGTAAAGTCCTTATGACTGACTGTGCGCATTTAACCTACAGAACACTTACATATACTTGCAAAGATATATATAGGAGAATATTCAATGCTGTTTTCTTTACAAAGCAAAGGACTGGAAACTTAAAATGTCTGTCAATAAGGAACGGGTAAAACACATTATGTTCTGCCCAGTATGTCACATAATGGATTGGAACATAATATACCAGAACACTACACAGGCTTTAAAAAATGAATTGAGCCTAAGTGCTGATATGTAAAGATTTACAAAACAATCAGTGAAAAAAAGCAAGTACAAAACAATATCCATAGTATGTTCCCATTTGTGTGTTAAAAGTAAGACAAATTGGGGATGGATGAGGAGACTGATACACACTTTTGCATGTATAGAAAATTTTGTAGAAGGTTTAGAAGTTAATAATGGTTGCCTCTGGGAAAAAGGAATGGAGATTTAAAGTGAAAGAGAGAGAAGACTTCCTTTTCATTGTACACCCTTTTGTATACTTTTGTATATACTATTCTTTTCATTCTAAAAAAATTAAATTAAAAGAATTCCAAAACATGTTATTATTTATTTAAATGTAAAGTTTTCCAAGGGAGTAAACTAAAAAAGCTCACACAGAGGGATTACATGTCACAACTCCTACTTGATCATTCCCTAAAGCCTACATTAAATTCTGCTAAACATAATAAAACTCTCTACTGTATATGTTTAATTAAAACTGTAGCTCTCAATAAAGAATGAGCATTTTAATATTTGTAGTGACACAGTCCCGGTTTACTATGAGTCTTAATGTCATACGCATCATAATAAACCCTTCTCTAGTCTAACATTCAAAGAAAAATTTAAAAATTTAATAATTGCTCTCAAATATATTAATTTGCCTTGAAATTGTCTAATTTAAAGTTCCTAGAAAACATGAACCTGTATTAAAATACAGTGAGTACATAATTGTAGTAAAAAATGGTTGAATATCAACAATCCCTCATGATTCAACAGAGTTCAATCAAAAAACTACCAGTAAGTAGTTCTATCTGTTCAGAACCAAGAGTAGGGAGAGGCAAGAGAAATGAGAACAAAAGGAATACCAGAATTGATAGTAAAGAAGCAACAGGATGAGAGAGAGTATATGATATATATTAATATAGAAAATAAAATATGTAACTCTTTGCTTAAAAAAACTGAGCACCTAAAATATACATAATGAAAGATGGAAGAATGAATGAGTAAATGGATTCTGATATCAAAGAGTTTTAGATCAGCAAAGGAATAGGATATTCCTTTAATTAATAAATTCCTGTAGTTAATAAATTAACTACAAAATAAAGTATATATTGAAGTACTACATGAAAGGGAGTAAGTGTGGAAGAATATGAAGAAAACAGAGAAATTTCCTTAATTGAGGAGGGGGAAAAGTACAGGTAGAGCATTAAGGAAGTCTTCATGGAAAGGGCTACTCAGTCTTTTGCAAGGGAAAACTAGTCAGTAGTCTTAATTGGCATATCATAAAATCCATTTAGGAGTTTAAGTACAATTTGTGGGGTTTTTTTCGGTTCCTGTTAGATAGAAACATGACTAAGTATCAAGCACTGTATTTGAAAGATTTCTTAAATTCCATACATGATATTGTCTTCAAACTATTTTAAGGTCATTACCACATATCAACATATTTGATATAACATTTCAAAGCACGTTAACATCTCAAATTAATCAGGGTTTAGGGTTACATATCTGGCTCACTTATATGAAAAGTCCTAAGAATAAATAAAACAAAAAAAAGTCTATGAACAACCAAACATTCCAAAGTCTCTTAAGTTCCCTAGATTCTCACTCAGAACTCATGTTATTCATATTTAGAATATAAACCTCCATTAGATAATGACACCTTTCATTTATATAACATCTACTTTTAAAACACTTCTACAATTTAAGATCATTTATATGCATCCATTCATTCAAATATTTATTCAACAAATACTTATTGAGCTCCTTCTATGTGTAAGGTATTAGTCTATACAATCAGTGCACAGAAGTTAAAACACAAAGTTCCTGCTCTAGTGGAGTTATTAAAATAGTGTGAAGTGTGTGTGTGGGGGGAAGGTGCACAGAAGGAGCCATCAGAAGACAGAGGAAATATAAACGCTTTAACTAACCAAAAGTCCATGAACTGGTATCTAATAAATCATAGGGTAATAAACAGTACATACCACAACCACAGGAACTCTGAGAGAACTGTTCCAATAAGGCCATTAATGATAATGCACATCAATACTACTTTATTGGGAAACTCAAAGTCCTCAAATCCAGTATAATGAAGTAAAAAGAAACCTGGCCATAAGAGCAGCAGATTAAACAGACCTACAAAACCTAAATATGTATAAAAGAGACAACAGTTAGTAATTGAGATTTAAATTTTTCAAACTTATAACTCTATAATTAGAAAACATTAGATCTTGCACAAAGCGTTCCAACAGGTTTCCTTAACTGGAACTTCTGTTTCTTTCAGTCAGATGTATAGATAGCTCAACAGAGAAAACTGTACTAGCAACTGGTGGTCACTGAGTCTTCAAGGTTCCACTATTTACACTGCACGGAGCAACTACTATGGAATAAACTACTTAATTCAAAAAGAAAGGTTGTTAACCTTAGCTACTAATAAGTTAGTGTCTTCAAACTTTAAGAAATAACTGGTATATCTGTGTGTATGGATATGCAGCCTAAATTAATTATGAGGAAGTAGAGAGTCTGCTCTCTGATTCAACTCATATTTATGTTTAAAGCGCCTGTGGTATTGCTGGGAATAATGGAAGAAGTTTCCAAACCAGATACGTTCTTGGTTCTTGCCTTCCAGGTGCTCATAAGCTAACTGGTGAGATAACATACATATACAAATAGCTCCTCAACATAGGAGTCATACAGACTGACTATCTGTAAAGGAAGGCTGTTAACATTTAGTGGTCAAAAATGTGTGCTCTGCAGTCTGACTGCCCTGAGTTCCAATCCCAGCTCCACCACTCACTAGTACTGTAAATCTTATACAAGATGCGAAACCTCTTTTAAGCCTCAGTTTTCCAATCCATAACTGTAAAATCATATTTAAATAGATTACTGGGAAAATCAGATGAAACATTTACAAAATATAGCACAGTACCTGGCATAAAAAGTTAGTAAAGGCAAGCTGCTACTATTATTAAAGAAATATAAGGTTACATATTACTACATGTGAATACAAAGACTACAAAGGAAAAATTTACAATTTTATAGTAATTTTTATTGCACTTCCTATACAGTTGAACATCACAGATCCATTACGTAACTATAGAGCTTTCTTAAAAGAAAGTTAAATTACAGTAAATACCTATTTTATATTTGTTGCTAAATAATAAACTAGAATTTAGGATGCCTAGTTAAATCTTAATAGGATTGGAGCATCTACTCCCTATCTGCTGCTAAAGACTTATAGCCACCCACCGTCTCTGAAGAACTGTCTTGGAGAGCAAACAAGCTTGCCTTTCCCATGAAGTTCCCACCCTCTACAGCCCACAACTAACCCATGAAGGATGCACAAGGCCACTCTCATGGCTGAAATCCTAATGGCTCAAGGCCAGAAGGTCTCTGAGGGATACCTAGACATTACCTGCTCCTTCACCAGCCCCCTCCACTTCCTGCTCCTGACATGCCATGAATTGGGCCAAACCTCAATTATACATGAGCCCACATGGTTCTTTCCCCTTCTCTATCCTGCTTTTCTTACTCCCTTGTCAGTATTCCCTGCAGATTGCCCCTCAATAAATCACCCATAAGAAATCCCTGTCTCATATCCTGCTTCTGGGATACCCAATTTAAGACACCTAGTGATAAAAAGAAAAACAAATAAAATGACACATACAAAAGGGACTCATGACCTGAAAAGCTTACACAACATTAAAAAGTTGTAATTAAAACACCAAAATTTGGCATTACCAAAAACCAAATCTAGTTTGGGGTCCCTGGACTATATCAAGTCTATGGAATCCCACATAAATTAACAACCTTTGGACCTAAAGACAAAGGTCACAATTGCTTCCACCTATTCTCCAGATCCTTCAGAATCTGGCCTGCATATCCTCCTGTTCTTCCTTAAAGTGAACCTCCAGTCCAATCACCTAGATCTACACACTGTTCCCTGTTATGCTCTGCTCTATCCATGCCTAAAGAACCCTCCACAACCCAATCCTAACTTCTTTTCTAGTCCTGCCTATTGTAAAGCCCACATCAAATCAATACTGTCTTACATCATATATGAAGAAGACCAATTAAGTTACATGTCTGTGTGTACTGTAGTAACAATAAACTGAACAACTTTTCCTGAAAACTGCCAATCTTAAAAAAAAAAAAAACTCAAAAAATATTAGCATTTCGTTCCATTCCAAGTGGAATTTCCTATGACTCTAAAATAAGACATCACTAAAATTACCTTCGTATTTAAGGTATATTAATTGAATTCCATACTTAAACTTGAGTGATCACTTGGTCTGGTAGCTTTCCAAATGTTTTGTTTCTGTTAATCTTTAAGTGAAGATATTCAAACTTTTTTTTAGCAGAAAAATCTTTTCTACAAATTATAATGCAAAAACCCCACAAAACAGAGCTGTTCCAGCTGAAGCAGGAAAGGACTCCAAGAACCAGAACCACGCATGCAACTCCACCTCTTCCCACCCTTCCCAGGATCCTCTGCAAATCAGTTTGAAAGCTACTCATCTAGTCCAATTTGCTCATTTTGCAGATGAGTATGAAATCAATGAAATTAGAATAGCCATATTCCTGGTCTCCTGATTCCCTATTAGCTGCACTTTGAACTTTCATCACCATGCTTTTTTATCATTGATACACAGGTATCTTTTGGAAGACATCTACAGATATCCAACAGAGAGCATAAGTTGTTTACTGAGCTGATATCAGGAAAGGAAGAGCTTATAAATCGTTATCAGGTATTTTATTTACCAAAATTAAGAACTGATGCCAGAAACTACAATTGGGTAATTTGAAAATCTATATCATAAAAGAGTCTATATCTTAAATGCAAATGGAAAGTCTTTAAATGGCCCATGAGTTTTAATGAACAGTACACAGACTAGAATAGTATTATACATATCATTTGGGAGCAGTTTCTCCAATCCTATGCTTCTAACAATTCAAAAATAGCAAAACGTGTAATACAACAGGTATACTCTCAATGCTTATAATAACATAATTCTATCATATCAATAAAGAAAATATCTGATTCACAGGCTAAAGACATGAATGCAAAAAAGGCACTAGGAGGAATTTCTTTCTTGACCTCACACCGAGGAAACCAGCATTCCTTCCGAGGTACACAATCATGCAGGGCAAGGTATGAGAAAAACACTGAGACTGGACTTCAAAATCTCAAAATCTGATGGTTTTAAAGAATCATAAGGAGAAGGAGAGAAAGGCTTCCTTATTCCCTCCAAAAAAACCCTAAGTTAATCATTCAAAGAAAGTGGCCTCACAGGTAAATATATTCTTACCAAAGAACATTGGAATATCCAACTTATCTTCTCTGTCTACTTTTCTCTTAATCATAACAATATAGACAGCATAGAGCATGGCTCCAACAAGAGACCAAATGGAACCTGTAAAAATCAACATGAGTTAACGCATTTGTTCATTAACTCATTCAACACACAATTATTTAAAATCTGTGTCAGATGTGAATTCAAGAAGTACATAAATACGAAAAGATAAAAGTAGATCCCACCCCCTCCCACGTCCTCCAGGAGTAAAGGACGTTTAAAGAGTGTTTAAAGAGTGAACAAACCCATGCAAAAACATCCATTGATCTAGCCAAACATGCATGTTATAATATTAAAACTCATATAAGTAACACTTTGGCTTTTAATTTTGAAATGCTACTTCATATTTTCCCCTACATAAACAATTTGGCACCTGACACTGGCTGGCCTAACAGTATTTCTTTCCATCTCTACACCATTGCTTATACAGTCCTCCCCACTGTGACCTATCATCTTTATTATATATTCCACTACCGTCTCCAAGGCCCAGTTAAAGTTCCCCCTTCTGCCACAAAGCATCCTCTTCCTCCTCCACTGAATTTCCATCCTCCTTGTCTTCTATTTTAGACCATTTAATACTTACATGGTTAATTATAGTATTATTTATTCTCTACTGGTTTCATTTTGTAAATCTCATATAATGACTAAAATCAAGAACTCCTTGAAAACTACAAACACATTACTTATACTTTTTAATGTTCTAAAATATCTAGCATAATACAGGGTTTGTAGTATAGGCATAATAAATACTGGTTCTCTTAATGTATTAACTCATTCTCAGAAACATTTCAGTAAGCCTTTAAAAACAGCTGAATTAATGTGCTGTCTGCCAAGTGACCACATTTAATACTTATTATCCAAAAGTCCAATGTTTTATTAAATCTATTTTAAAAAATTATTCTAAAACATTTTCAAAAAGCAAAAAGGAAGCCTAACAATAAATTCTCACACATATACAACAAATACATGTTTTGTTTTACACATAACAAAGCTGCTCTGGGTGAGAAAGAGGAGATACAGTTCAAGGCATGGCTCACTGGGCAGTGACCAGGGATGGTTTAGAAAGCACCTTTCCATTCAATGAACTTCAAATATCTAAAGGAAGTATCCAGAGGGAAGCCATTAAGCTGGGTTCTGATTATCTTTGTTATTGTTTAATCTAAACAATGGATCAAAACTGAATGTTCACCATAACAGTAAATGGTTCAGGTAAGAAACATGAGTGAATCACAAAATTAGTGGGTGCAAGTATAACAGAAACGGGGTATTTGTATAGTCTCAAAGTATCTCCCCACAAGATGCTTATTACTTACAAAGAAAAAAATTAATAACTTTACACTGGAGCAACCTGGCAGACACCAACTTAAAATTAACTAGTCACTAGTAACGGGACAATACTATGTCCCTTCTGATATGATGTGTTGATCAGGACACTTCTAATATTACTTGCATGGCATTCTTACCAAAAATACATAACATAAATTTTACCATAAGGAAGTATCAGACAAAGCAAAAGTGAGGAACATGCCACAAAACACCATATCCTTCAAAAGTGTTAAGGTTATAAAAGACCAACAACAACAAAAAAGACTGAGGGACAGTTCCAGATTAAAGGAAACTAAGGAGATGAAAACTAAAGGCAACAAGTGATGCTGCACCAGAAAAAGAACATTAGTGGGAAGAATTGTGAGATGTGAAAAGGATATACATACAGACTAGATAATTTAATCATAATCAGTGTTGGGGTGCCTGGGTAGCTTAGTCGGTTAAATGGTGACTTGATTTCGCCTCAGGTCAGGATCTTAGGGTTATGAAACTAAGCCCACATCAGGCTCAGCACGGGGCATGGAGCCTGACTAAGATTCTCTCCCTCTGTCCCTCCCTAGGCCCTGTCTCTCTCCCTCTCAAAAAAAAAAAAAAAAAAAAATATATATATATATATATATGTATTATAATCAGTGTTAATTCCTGACTTTTATAACTACACTGCAGTTATGTACATAGCAGAGAATCTGAGTGAAGGCTATATGAGAATTCTATGAACCATTTTTGAAATTTTTTACATTATTTCCAGAGGAAAAGTTAAAAAAAGACCCCATTAGTGCCCGCCCTCCGTGTGTGTGCACACACATGCACACAAGGACACAAATAATGACATGCACAAAACTTTCTTGTATACTCTTAACAGAAAGAATGCAGAGACACATAGTTACCTATTGTATCTCTTCCAGCAGATTTTTCAGACCCTGATAAGTTCACCAGCACAACACCTCCAATGCTATGGGAATAATAGGATTACTGATGAGCAAAACAATAAACTCCTTCAAAACGGCTAATAATAAAGATAAAAATTATTTACAAGTGATCTAGACTACTTTCAAAACTGGGGAAAACTACAATTCCCAAAGAATTTAGTGATTTAATTAATATCTAACAGTATTAATGGGCAAGTATAAGTGCTATACTTGTATTCATTTAATTCTCACGAAATGTACAAATTACCTTATAATAAAGGTATTATTGCTACTACCATTACCATTTTACACCTGAGAAAACTGATACACAAACATACAAAGTAACTTGACCAAAATCACATAGCTGGGACTGAAACTTTGCCAGTCTACTTCTAGGTAAGTATTTTTACCTCCTATGCTACCTACTGCTTTTCAGTTAAGGAAGTAATCAACTTGTCAGCCCTCTTCCAAACTTTTTTTTTGAAGATAAACATATGGTATATCCATACACACCTAGCAAGAGCACTAACTCTTGCCTACCAATAAAACCTAAATTAGCAATAAAACTCTCCTTAAATGTTTAAATGATTAATTAATGGATGAAAAAAGACTGAATTAAAGATGTAGAGAAATCAGAGATCATTCATTCACTCAACTGTTATTTATTGAAAAAAATTTTTAAATTATTTATTGAGCTAAGCACTGTTATAGCTGCAAACAAAACAGATGTGGTTCCTGTTCTCAGGGAGCTTATACTGTCTTTCTATTTCTATGCATCTTGTAATTGTACATATTTTTAAAACAGATAAAATAGTATTAATTTTTTTAAAAGCCAGTCTAATTCTTTTGCCTAGTGATCCAAAAAACTAAGTGACATAGGAGAATATGAAAAAAAATTTTTTTACCTTATGGAATTATATCATAAGTCAAATCTAGTCCTTACATTAAGTATTCATGTCTCTGAATTAAATATTATAATTTTCTGTTAAACAATCATTGTTTAAATTCAGCTATTATTTATTGAGCACCCACAACACACCAGAAACTAGAGGTTTCAATTTCATTTAGATAATAATAATCACAATGACTAAATATATTGAGCACCTATTATACACCAGACACTGTTCCAAGCACTTTTAAAGTTTTAACACATTTAATCCTCATAAGAATCCTTTGAGACAAATCTTACTAGTATTCCCAATTTACAGGGGAGGAAACTGTGACACAGAGAGGCAAGAAATTTGCCCCAAATTGCAAAACTAGTAATCATGGAGGCAGGATTGAATTCCAGGTAGTTTAGATGGAGAGTACCCTGTCTCTTGAAGTGAGACTTTCTAGCTTTTAAGAAGATTTCCTTCAAGATTTTTGCTCTGTCAAATTCTTTTTATACCTCAGAAACTGAATCTCATTGTATAAGGTTATTTCAAAACAAAGTATAAAACAATGTTCAAGATAGTATTAAGAACATATAATAAATATACAAAAAAATTCTAATAATTTTTCTAGAACACAGGTCAAGCAAACTTCCTTAAAGGAACAAATAGTAAGCATTTTAGGCTTGCAGACCATATAGTCTCTGTTGCAACTGAACTGTCATTATGGTGCTTAAGTAGCCATAGATAATATACTAACAAGTGAGAGTGGCTATATTCCAATAAAACTTTAAAAAATTAGGAAGCTAGCTCATCTTAGTCCACTGACCCCTGTTCTAGATCTACTTTAATGAACTCTGTCAAAATATTTACAAGTTCAACATTTTATAAGTATTTCCTTCTTTTTCAAAACTTTATTAATATAGTACAAAGAGAAGTTAAAAATTTGCATGAATTCTGAATAAAGTTGAATAAAACCTCATTTACTTCCCCAATACAAAAATATGTTTGGCTAAAACAATTAGTCAATCATGCAATATAATAAACTTCCAGTGGTCATAAAATCTAAATAGTAAATCAGTTGGTCAACCGGCCTACATCTGGAAACTACCATGGTTATATCTATAAAGGAAAAACACATCATAATAAGAGTACCTCAGTCCCCATGATAATCATTTTTAATATACATTCCCTCCAAACTTTAAAACAAGGCTGGAAAGTAGATACTACCATCATTTTCTCACCTAAAAACCCCTCTCAGAGAGTTTAAGGGAACTGACAGAAACAAAGAACAAAGCTCTGATTCAAACCCAGTTCTGGCAGCTAAGAAACATTATTCTCTCCATTAAATCATTCTACTACCTTCTCTGATTTCTGATTTTTTCTCAGTAAAAACAACAGCTTTATCAAACCGACGCATCTTTTTTGGGTATTGTTGGTAAGCAAAGGCCTAGGCTAGACTGTTGGTGGCACAAATAAGTATAAAACAAGGCCCTGGCCTTTAAAGGTTTATAATCCACAGAAAAAACATGACAAACACAAAGTTACAAAAAAATAAAAGACTTAAATACAGTTATTGACAATACTAATGTTATACAGTAATGCAAAGTTGCCAAATGATTTATACAGAAAATAACTGAAAGATCACTTGAGGCTGAGCCAATCAGAGAAGACTGCATGTGTGATGTCCAGAAGTAGAAGTAAAACCCAAAACCAAAACAAAAAACGGACTTGTTTTAGGAAAAGGAAATAGGGACTTGGAGGTAATGAGGATTAAGTTGCCACATTAAGTTAAATGTAAGCATCAGTACAATACATAGTATTATACCGTCTGTCCTCCCATGAATGGGAGCCAAAGCTCCCTTGGGATTCTTCCAGTTACTCCCCCCAGGAACATTTAGAAAACTAGTTAAGGCTGTGACACAGGCTGAGTAGCATGCTGTCCATATAAAATCTTTTTTTATCCTCATCTTTCTCTGGCTATACAGTATACTATAATATAAACTATCCTATGTCACTACCAGAAAAATTTTAAACAGAATTAACTAGCTATTATGCTATATTCTTACCTTAAAATTACAGCTAATAGTTTAGAAAGAGTAAATCTATCTCCACTGTTACTTGGAAACATTGCAGCAAGAATTAAGGTAAAAAGTCCTATAAGGAAAAAAGATACAACAGGTTAAATACTGTCAAAAACAGCCTTTAAACTAAAACCAATGCTTATTTTAACAATACAGATTAAGTATAGCCCCGTTTACTTTAAACTAATAAGACAGTGAAATTGAGCACTCAGAATAACATTATGACCTCATCATAATCAAGCATGTGTGCTCAAGTTGTTTTTACAGCTTCAAAAATATTTTTCCTCTCCCAGATTTGGAAGGTGATTCAATATTAAAATAAATATCTTCATAGGGTAAATTATGGTTCTGAAATAAGCAATTACATTTAGTCAAAGGGTCTAGAAAAAGATCTTCAGAAAAAAATGTGAAAGGAATGACTATAATACAAAGAACCAGCCTATAAAACCTTAATATGTTGTTATATAAAAATATACCATAAAATAATAGAAGGAATATAAATAGCACAATACCACAGCATAAAACTACAAATATTATGTAGTTACAATACACTAACGTACATTAGAATGAATGTAATAATTTGTAATAAGATAAAAATGTGTGTATATATGCGTGTATGTCTGTGTGTGTGTGTATATATATATATATACATATACACATATATATAAAAGAGAAATAGATTTCAATTTATAATGTAGATTTTGAAGACAAATTTCTTACCAGAAGTTGAGGACAAAATATTAACTATAGCAACTTGTGTGTCTGAAAGTGCTTCTTGATATGACAAATTTGCCAGAAACCACTAAAGAAAAAGAAAACAAAGTGAAACCTAATGAATGACCTGCTTATATCTGTCATAATTTATAGGCCCCTCCTTCCCCCCCTAAATATTTAAGAACTTTTAAAAGTTGCTTTCTATTGAAAAATCACAGACCTAAAAAGAGGGCATTTATAATTAGATCTAAGATCTTTGCTATTCAATTTCGCTTAAGAAATTAAAAACAGTTGGTTAAAATTAGCATTCAGTTTTTTAAAAAATGAGAGTAAGACTGAATACCAAATCAACTTTAAAATTTCCTTTATCCAAACATTTCTAGCATTCTATTAAAGTTTATCTAAACCAAATTTAAATTTGGGGAAATTCTCAAATATTAAAATATGTACAGATGAACACAGCATGATGAGAAATCTATTGAACAAGATCACACCTGTGGGGATGGATCAAAATAGCAAGCTAGGTAGACTGATATATAAAAGGACATAATCGTTTCAGAAATTTAAAAATGTCCAATGAAAAATGTGAATTTGCTGGCTAATTATGATTGTTTCTCTGATTCTCAGTTTGGAGACATAATACAGAGTTCTCATAACTGGATATAATTAAAGGAAGTTTTCCAATGATAAGGATTTTTTTTCTTTTCTTTTGCTCATCTAGGCTAGGATATTCTTATATTCTCAATACTGTGCCTAATACGATTTAATGAAAAAGAAGTAAGCCCTCTTTTTGAGGAAGCCTGGTGTGTGTGTGTATGAGAGGGGTTCCAAAATTCATATATTTTCACTGCTATCAGATATTCTAATACATATTACCACAACTCATCCATTTTTCTGTTGATGGATCCTTTTGGACTATTTCAAACAATGCTATTGTGAACATTTTACTGCATGTCCCCTGGTGCATATGTGCATGAGTGTCACTAATATATACACTAAGAAGCAGACTGCTGGCTCAATAAAAATAAATTAACTGCTTATCTAACTGTTTTTGGCATCACTGTTACTTAAACATAATCATATTCCACTATAGAATAGGGCAGGGACTTAAGACAGGGACATCTCTTGATCTCTCTCTGAACTTGTAGTTAAGTGAGTACTATAATTAGCATTTACACTTCAACGAAGCAACAAAGACATATGATCTTAGAGCACTGCTAGAAGATAGCAGATAACTGAGTTTAGTAGATTCCATTTAGTCTACACTGTACCCAAGATGAAAGCCAGAGTAAAACTAGGGCAAAGTGATTTTGATGCCGTCTGTAGTCCTCCTACTTCCTAGATAATTTCCCTGGACTTTCTAAACAAGAAAATGAGGTAGCAATTGCTAAGATGAGCAATATCAAACATATATGAAGTACTAGAAAAAAGAACATTCGGCTGTTAATTATCTCTTGGAGCTCTATCTTCAAGACCAGACAATACTTATAGGGTGATAATTAGCTTCCTTGACCCATTTTCGTTACCACTTTAACACATAAATACTGTGCTCATTTTCCAAACAATCTCCACTGGTCTCTGCTAATGCACAATAAAGAAATAAAGACAGATCATTCAGGTAGCAGACATTCAAAAATCCTAAGAAATCATCATTAGCTAGAAACTCTTTCTAGAAAGACCTTTCTGTACTGCACCTCTCCCCATTCTCTGGTTCTCCAACCCAAGGCACTCTCATTACAAAAGAAGACCTATCTAAATTACCTTCCAATAAAAATTAACCTTACAATGTTTCCCTTTATTATTCCACAGTTGAGGACAACCACTTACTAATAAATAATCTTTCAAAAATAATTTATATTTTCATTATTTCATGAGTGGTAATTTTAAATTTATCATAAAAAATATTCTAGGTAAACACTGTATGACCTAAATTATATTCTACAGAGAAAAATTAAAATATCGTAAGCGCTAATAAGACAAAAGATATTCAAGGAGGACTGACAAATACAGGAATTATTAACTCCTCTGCCCTGCACTGTACAATCACTAGCCACTAGCCCCATGTAGCTACTGAAGAACTGAAATGTGACTAGTCTGAATTGAAATGTTTAGCAACTAAAATTGAAATAAAAACTGAAATTGAAATGAAATGGAAACTAAAATAGAAAATAAAATGCTTAGAATATTTGGTACTAAAAAAATATAAACTATCTCATCAATAATTTTTGTATTGATAACATATCAAAATATTTTACATACAGTGGGTTAAATAAAAACACAGTATTAAAATTAATTTCACTTGTTTCTCTTGATTTCTCTTTTAAAAATTTTAAAAATGTAGGGCGCCTGGGTGGCTCAGTCGTTAAGCGTCTGCCTTCAGCTCGGGTCGTGATCCCGGGGTCCTGGGATTGAGCCCCGCATCGGGCTCCCTGCTCTGCGGGAAGCCTGCTTCTCCCTCTCCCACTCCCCCTGCTTGTGTTCCTGCTCTCACTGTGTCTCTCTCTCTCAAATAAATAAATAAAATCTTTAAAAAAAAAAAAAATTTTAAAAATGTAATTAAAAGTTTTTTTCTAATTGTAGAAAATTAAAAAAATACATATGACACCTGCATTTGATGCTTATATTATATTTCTATTGAACAGCATTGTTCTAAACCTTATCAAAGCTTATCACTCTTAAGTTAGGTTTCCAAAAAGCTATATACCTGGACTATACTACTCTGACTTTCTACAGAAATGCCTTTACTAAAGACTAATATAGTTTTCTACTCTTGTAACTTACTAAAGGTTTTTTTTTTTTTAAAGACTACTGAAGGTGGAAGCACCCAAGTGCAGACCAACGATGAATAGATAAACAAAATGTGGTATATCTGTACAGTGGTATGTCTGTCTTCAGCTCAGGTCATGATCCCAGGGTCCTGGGATCCAGCCCCGCTTCGAGGCCCCTGCTCAGCAGAGAGCCTGCTTCTCCCTATGCCTGCTCTGCCTACCACTTCCCCCTGCTTGTGCATGCTCTCTGACAAATAAATAAAATCTTAAAAAAAAAAAGGAAAAACAGTATATGATTCCACTCACAAGAGGTACTTAAGAGTAGTCAAATTCATAGAGACAGAAAGTAGAATGGTGGTTGTCAGAGGCTGGGGGAGGTGAGAAAGGGGAGTTATTTAATGGATATAGAATTTCAGTTTTGCAGGATGAAAAATGTTCTGTTGATAGGTGGTTGCACAACAGTGTGAATGTACCTAATGCCACTTAACTATACACTTAAAAATGGTTAAAATGAAAAAAAAAAAGGTTAAAATGGCAAATTTTATAGCATGTATATTTTACAATTTTTAAAAGGCTTTTTGTATGCACATACATATCTGTAAATCAGCACGCTATATGGAATAGTACCTATGTAATGTATTTATGTAACACATTCTCTCAGAGTTGTGAGTTGGGAAAAAAGTTTGCTTTATCTAATGAAGGGAAATATTTCCTTTTAATAGGCAATAAGCTGTATAATTCAGGAAGTTTTCCTTTTACCAATTTACCTAAAGATGAATTGTGTGCTCATTAGAAGTAGCTTTCTTTCTTTAAATCGGAGAGTTCCTGATATAATCATCCCACTCCACAGCCGGCTTCTTTCCACCACACACACATACACACACACACACACACACACACACACTACCCGTTTAATCTCTTATCTTTCCCCTTTGTTTTTAACTTTTACTATATAGATGCTTTTACTCTTCTTCACCTCAAGTGTCATTTGAAAATTAAGTAACATATGATAAATCTTAGTCTTGCCTTACATTCATTTAAAACAAGCAAACAGAAAAAATAATTAACAGCATAATCCAAATGTATGTCTTTAAATTAATTTTAGTACATATGTAATTATCATAACTCACAATGATTTTTTGATTTGTATTGCTGAATATATTAATTAAGGTATCACTCAACTAGATGTTATTCAGGAAGAGGATGGAGAAAAATGGGCTCTGCAATGAGGCAAAACTGTAAAAAAATCTTATAATCAGGCTAATGATACTGACATTAGCACTGCATTACCTGGTGTTTAAAAAAGCTCAGTATAAATTTAAATCTTAAAGGCCCATACTAAACAACCTTGGATTAGGCTGCTCCCAATGACATATATAGGAAAGAGCCCCGAAATTCATTATCAAATTCTAAACTTCAGTTTTCACTAATTCAGACAAGTCTAATTCTAGCTTATTCCAAAATAATATTTGCTGTATGATTATTCTATGTGAAATCTTTAGCACATTTTTCAGTTTCTTTATTAATATAATAGAAAAGCTATTAAAAATAATACAAGAAATTCTGTAGAAATGTTTACTATGAGTACTTGCTAAAATATTTGACCACATTTACACAAATTTACCATACAACTACAAAACCACTTATTTGACAAAATCAATGCATACAGTAAACTCTTATCTAGATATTTACTAGCCTTTGTATATATAATAGTGTAAAATAGCTATTAATTATCCTGACTGTGAAGCAATGCCAAATTCTGAATATATATATATAAGTAGTTGTTGTGTTATAGTATTGATTGAATTCTTTGAGGTATGGTAAGCATTTATTCACTTTGATACTCAAAGTCCCCAATGATGCCAGATAGCTGAGTTTTAAAGTCAATTAAGCAACCTAACAGTGTTACGTTTCAATAGGATACTGCTGGCATGTACACTGTCTTAAAATTCAAATTCTAAACATTTAATAAAGAGAAGACCTACCACGAAGCAAAAAAAAAAGCTAATTTTTGCTACTTGAGTTGCAGTAAGTTTCCCCACAGTTTTGAATAAGGATTCTTGTTCTTTCACAGTAGGATATGACATGCGAGACAACTTAGCTTCCAATGCATGGCTTGATGGAAGCTGCCGAATCTCCATGATATTACTGAACCTTACACGAGACTTTTTGGGAGCTTAAAAGGAAAAGTATAATACAAAGTCATTAACATGTCCCCTCACATCCAATGAAAGTCACAAGTTTTAATTTACTGATAAATGATAAATGCATATTCTTTAATCCACATATTATCAGACTTGGACAGCAAAGAAAACCAGTTATATTATTACCTGGGGCAGTTCTGCTTAAAGAGTTAACAGGAAAAACATTTTCACTACAAAAATGTTTTAAGATTTTAAAATGAGACCAATGTTCAAACAAGGGTTCTGCAACTGTGTACATACACAACTGCCTAGGTCAGGATTATAGTATGGTTATTATTTTAGCATTTATGGTAAAACTATTTTTATTTATGAGAATTATGTTCCTGGTCAAGCATGCAGAACATTCTTCTAGAGGTCCATTCTTTGCAAGAGAGTATTACGGATAAATACTGTGCTTACGCTGAAGCTGATATTCTTTACTCAATTCACAGAACCAACAAAACTCCTATAATTTGCTATTAGGAGTCTCAAATGGCATGGTTGAAGAGGATTTTGTTCATTTAAATATATTATATATTATATATGTATATATATGTATGATGAAACTATACATATATACATACATATATATACACACATAATGAAATCATAGAGATTTCTGATATTTGGAAATTATTTCTGGTTTAAATAAAAACTTCCAGTCAAACGTCTGGAAGATTAGAGGCCAAGCCAATACCGCATGGAAAAAAAGAAATGCCAGGTGATCCCAGTCAACCCACAAAATCACTAAGTTTGGGGATGGCTTAAATGAAGCTAAAATTTCCTCCCATTTCTAAGTTATAAAATTCTAAGTCTTGCTTACTTTCTTCAGTATCAATGTTTGTGTTCTCAGGTTTTTCACTTGGAATATCATGAAATTTCACAGGAACATAAAGAGGTTCACTCTAGAATGTAACAAAAACAGAAACAAATATAAACAGCAAGTATAATACCTAATATACTGGCTAAAATTTAAGTTGATGGCATGTAGACATAAATACCACTCAAAACACAGCTGTTCACCACAACAGAATTTTCCCAAAATATATTGGAACAGGACTGGTACATTATATTTAACATTTAAATGTCATAAAAACAGACCTTTTTCTCAAGCTAACAGATTATCTCCAATTCCTTTTCATTTATTCTTTTAACAAATACGTGCTGAGCTTCTACTTTGTCAGAAACTGTTCTAGATCCTGGGGATATGAGACTTAAAAAAGACAAAAGTCTCTGTCCTCAAGGATCACATAGTTTAAAGGGGAAGGCAGATAATGAAGAGATAATCAAGATCTAATATGTATATGTATTTGCCAAATTGTTTTCTCTTATTACTTAAGATTCAATTAAAGATTAAGATTCCTGAAAACCATTACAGGATTAATAGACAAGAAAAAAACAGCTACCACTTATCAGTTCTTATAATGTACCAGCTACCAAGTCCAGAGCAGTCAAACATGTCTTTCTCATTAGTCCTCATAACAACCTCATAAAATGGTACTTAAAAAAACAGAGATATAAAATAATCAAGTGGTACACAACAGAATTGCCAGGTTTATCTAACCATGCTCTAAAGGTCTATATTTTTAAGTGGTTCTGAATTCCTCTACTGTTTTTATACATGTTCTTTAAATGATCTATATTTAAGGCACAATTCTCCAACTAAGCTGTTTCTTAAATTAACAGAAAATGTTTTCTATTAAATTCTCTTTTAGCTCTTGGTATAGAACTCTGCCAATGAAAACTATTCAGTAAATGAAGAGGCAATAGGATCTGAAAATAGACACAGTCTCTTTGTTACACTGAACTTTTCATTACAGCATTTGGCCTAGAACAATTTGACATACCCATCTTACTGATAATAGCAAAACTTAGTATTAGAGTAGGTAGAAGAATAGTCTGTCACCTCAACTCTGCCTTCTACCCTGATAAGAGACAAGTGGTATTAATTTTGCTGATTCTTAAGATCCTAGAAATGGAAGGACATTTTCTCTAAGCTTCATAAACTCTTTACAGCACCTGGTAACCTACCCTGCATGCAACTATAGTTCCAAAAGCCAGACAAGTAAAAAACCGTACTGGCAATAAGGCCACGAAGCTAATGCTTTATAAACTGATGCTAAACTTTAGAGTAACTTTAAAATTTTTCTCAGATAGAATGCCACATTTGGAACATCTTAGAGAGATGCCTTAGTGATGGTCTAAAAAAAAAAAAAGATTTCTACACACTTTCTCTGAAACTAGACTCAAACTAGATTATAAATGCTTAAAATAAGTGAATATGTTAATTACTTTACTTGCTCACTACTTATTATCTGTCTCTTCTGCCCTCCCCAAACACACACTCTCACACACTAGAACATAAGGTATATATTTCTGGAGCCTAAAACAAGTGCTTAACACTTAGGGACGCCTGGGTGGTGCAGTTGGTTGAGCATCCAACTCTTGCTTTAGGCTCAGGTCATGATCTCAGGGTCATGAGATGGAGCCCTGCATTGGGCTCTGCGCTCAATGGGGAGTCTGCTGGAGATTCTCTCTCCCTCTGTTCCTCCTCCTCATGCCCTCTCTCTCTCTAAAATAAATAAATCTTTAAAAAAAAAAGTGCTATTAAAAATTTGTGGAAAAAATCTGTGGAACAAAAGAACAATCTGCTTATATATTCTCAGTGTCAAACAAATATATTTGCTTCTAAGTGATGATAATAATGAACACAAAGTGATGAAGTTGGTAAGAAACAAAGGACAAAGGACTGTCCCTTAGGATTTTTGCTCCTTAACCAATGTCCTCTTCCCCTCTCTCCTAGAAGGCTGAACTACTTACTTCTAGGTCCCAAGAAATAAAGTACCATATTACAATTCTTATGGCGGGCACCCAATATTAGGATATATCTACATCCTAATATAGTGGTGTTATAAAGCTATTTCAGTCCTTCCTGTCATGGCTCAACTCCACCCATTCCACTCCTGATGAAAAGCACTTACCAAAGAACTATTCATAGTTGTATCTGTTGTGCAAGCAGCAAAGTAACCTTCAGCATCTGCAAACTACAGATAACAGGACATAAAATTCGATTAAACTCATGTTATAAAGTAAGGCTGCTGTCAGCCACACTCAAAGGAATAGAATAAAAAATCCAGAGTATTATAAGGGTATAATTATTATTAATCATAATAGCACTAAGGCCAAGTATTCAATTATGCAAGGTAGGTATTATCATCTTCATTTTACTGATGAAGGAACAGGCTGAGAGATTTCATCTAAGTAAGAGGATTAAAACCGAAGTCAATCTAAATACAAAATTTATGACCTTTTCACAATACTATTTATTGTAACATTTCAGATTAGAAGGAAAAGGATGGGTGGGTTTGTGAAAAAGAGAAATAACATCTTAGTATTATCATGATAATAGTATTAACATCAAGAACCCCCTAAATGGATCAATGGACTGGACCGCACTTGGAGAACCCTACGCTAGTGCTGTACAAGCATGTTTCTATTCACCCATGGCTACCCTACCCTATCCAATCATTATCCTTGCTTAAAGTCTGAAGAGGTTAAATAACTTGCTCAAGGTCACGCAATCACTAAATGACAGAACAAAATTCAAACACCAGAGCCCATGCTCTTAAAGAATTCCCGTTAAGTCAATAAGGAGTCAATGTATAAAAACGAACAAGATACAGACAACTCCAGAAAGAATCCTATTGTGCAACAAATACATAAAAAACCACTGAAAGCATGCAGATTAAACAAAATATCATTGTTCACCTACAAACTGGTAAACGTTGGGATTGTGGTAAGGATTCGATCTCATGCACTGCTAACAGAGATAAGAATTATAGGTTTTAATTTAGCAATAGGAAGCAAAAGCCTGAAAATGGCATTATTGTTTTATCCACCAATTATACTTTGGAGATTTATCCAAAGTAAATAACTATAGATGTGTATAAAGATATTCCTATTTACTTATATCAAAAGAAAAAGTGGAAACAATCTATCAAGCAACTGTTAAATAAAATAGAAAAGATAATAACAGATGTTTATTTACTAGCCTGCAGATATTCATGATACGTTAAAGTAAAATCAAGTTAGACAATGATATAGATTAAACTTACTTCTACTATAATTTTAAATATATGCACATAAGCACATAGCCACAGAGAGTATCAGTATATACAGTGGTTGCAGAATGGTGAGATTACAGATAGACTCTTCTTATTCTTTATTCTTCGTTACCATAATTTGTCTTCAACAATGAACATGCATCACTACTACAATTTAAAAAAACTTAACATTAAAAAATGTTCTAGAAATACTAAATTACACAGAAAGTTGTTCATGATATACCACTAAGAACAGATAGCCAACTGTAAAACAGGACATAACAGTATAGTTTCACTTTTGTAAAAATATAAAATAAAAATACACACGTGAAAAAGAATGGCAGGATATATGTCAAAATACTCTGGAGTTATTCCTTGAATGGTGGAATTTACTATTTTCTTCTTTTTGTTCCTCTGTGTTTTCCAAATGTTCAGTAATGTGCATGTAGGTATATATACATATAACATACTCCTACATGTAATACTACAATGTATATACATTTCTATAATGTATATGTATTACTTTTACAAAGTAAAAAATGGAAGTGTTCATTAGAAAGGACAAGAAGTATACTAGTCTAATGCACAAAAAAAGTACACATAAAAGAAAATAATTAATAGAGAAAGAAAGTATTTGGGAGGGGTGGGGAATGGGAGTTAGTTATTATTTAATGGCTACAGAGTTTCTGTTTGGGATAATGAAAAAGTTCTGGAGATGGTCGGTGGTGATGGTTGCACAGCAAAGTGAATGTAGTTAATGCCACTGAGCATTTAAAATGTTCACTATATGCCACTATACATTTAAAAATGATTAAAATTGTAAGTCTTATGTCATACATTCTTTACTACAATAAAAAAAGAGGAGCAAGAAAAAAAGGGCTAAAATGGTAAATCTGATGTTATGTATATTCTATCACAATTTTAAAAGAGGAGAAAAGGAGAAAGAGTGGAAAAGAAAAAGAATTAATGTAAGAGGCCTGCCATTTCTGTCAACACTATCAATCATCATGTTATGTTACATAAAGGAAAGAGTATAATTTGGTTAGCCAAACACATGAAAGATGGCCTGAAATAAGCTATTTTCATTTTAATAAATAAAACCTTGCTTTACTTTATTTCTAACAAGCAACTTTACAACCATTTAGATGATACTCATCCAGTATGCAAATGACCAAAGACTCCAGATATTCTTATTCCTCACATTCATCTTCATCTCCACATTAATGATTTGGGCTAGTTCAATATTTTTAACAACCCAGAGGATATTATGAGATAAGGGAAAGACAGTGATTATGTACCTTTGATTTCTCACAAGATATTTTGATACCAAGTTGATTAAAAGAATAAATTTAAAATTTTGGACAAAAGTCGGTTTCTCTTATATCATGCCATCTTCACTCACTTAACTGAACAACTTGAAATCTGACTGTCCTTCAAGAAATAACTTTAAACTTTGAAAAAATAAATCCCCTCTTCAACAAACACTTAAAATTTAAAACTTACAAAAGCAGCATGCTTTCCTCGAAATCCTCTTGTACATTGTTGTCTCCATGGCTTCCAAATAATAAATCCCAAAAGGTATAGAACAAACATAGACGTTTTTGCAAAGGTGCTGAAGAACGGCTTGTTGTACTGAGTAAAAACGTACTGTAAAGGAAAAATTTACATAAACTATGAAATGACTTCAAACCTTATTACTTATCTCCAAAAAAATAAGGCTATTACATGATTTTTAACTCTAAGAGGTTCATGTGGAAGATCAGAAGAGATTACAAAAATATTTTATACTCATTTCTATATATTTGCTATATATTATAAAAAGGATAATATTCCCAAAGAAAGCAGCAACAACTTCCAAAAAAAGCTTTGTTCAACATTCATTAAAAACCTACTATGCAAGAGTACTTGTGCTAGGAGCTAAGGAAAAATAAGATAGCCTTTCCTTTCATATATGTATGAAAAGCACACAGCATAATATGCTAAGTACCACAACAAGGGTATACAGGTACCCTGGGATTACCAAAGGGAGAAAGAGATTTGAGGATTGTGGAAGATTCCTAAGAGAAGCTATCCTTTCTTTTTTTAAGTTTTTTTTTTTTAAAGATTTTATTTATTTATTTGACAGAGAGAGACACAGCGAGAGAGGGAACACAAGCAGGGAGAGTGGGAGAGGGAGAAACAGGCTCCCCGCTGAGCAGGGAGCCCGATGTAGGGCTTGATCCCAGGATCCTGAGATCATGACCTGAGCCGAAGGCAGACGATTAATGACTGAGCCATCCAGGCGCCCCGAGAAGCTATCCTTGAGCTGCATGTGTAGGGCTGAATAATAGGCAAGAGGAAACAGCATAAAGAAAGGCAATGAAGCAGAATGGCATATGAATAAAATTGCATGAAGGTTAATGTTGCCAGGAAGTTATATAAAACCTATAATCTTCATTTAACTTAGAATTCATGGGTTTTTTTGTTTCCTTAAAAAAAAAAAAAAAAGTCCTAGTTATGTACACTGAAAAGCCCAGAAAAAATGACAACCCAGGAGGAGTGAGCACCAAAGAATACAGAAGTGATCTGTATCATCTTGCAATAAAAGAAACCATGGGTTCTTAAAGAAATGATCAAATCCAAATATGGGACAAGAAAATTACCAGATGAACCTGAGGCATCTTGCACCAAAAAGCAAATAGGATGTTAAAGACCAACAGGGTCATATTGAAAGGACAGCAGAGCCAATTTGAAGAGGCTCCCACTGGTCAAAGATAGTACAGTTTAAGCACCAAAAGGAGTATAACTAGAATTGTCTGAAACATATGAAATACACAAAAATCCATGAATGTATGATGATACCCTACGGTTACTATTAGAAGTTGCTAAGCAACATTACTCTAAAACAAAGAATCAAGATTTATTCAACGCTTCCTATATGAACCATGTTTCAGGAAAACCAAACAGTAGTGGGGAAAACCTCTCCTTAAAGAATTCAGCTAAGGGGCGCCTGGGTGGCTAAGTCGTTGGGCATCTGTCTTTGGCTCAGGTCATGATCCCAGGGTCCTGGGATTGAGCCCCACATTGGGCTCCCTGCTCCATGGGAAGCCTGCTTCTCTCTCTCCCACTCCCCCTGATTGTGTTCCCTCTCTCGCTGTGTCTCTGTCAAATACATAAAATCTTTAAAAAAAAAAAAAAAAAAAAGAATTCAGCTAATAAATGCACAAGGAATGACCCTTAGAAAAAATCATCATTTTACAAACCCTAATGAAATACTCTATCTGGGCAATTATCATATGGATATTTGACTATTACCTAAAGGTTGATGAGAAACTTCATAGTGCTGAAGTTGGCATCACCCAAAGTAAGACTTATAGCCATTATGTGCCTCATGTGTTGTCACAGGAAGTACCCAGTACCACCAAGGTATTTTTTCCTAAAAACTGAACCTGACTCAAATCAGGACTTTACACCTAACTACCATTTTATAGGAAATAAGAGAAAAGGAGGAGCAAGTTAAATGATACCCCAAGGAAACAATCAGCCAAATTTAAAATGTGTGTTATGGAGCGAATATGTGTGTCCTCCCAAAATTAATATGTTAAAATCCTAACTCCCAATGTGATGGTATTAGGAGGTATTAGGTATTAGGGGCCTTTGGGAGGTGATTAGATCAAGTGTAGAGCCCTCATGAAAGGAATTAGTGCCTTATAAAGATATCACAGAGCGCTTTCCTGACCACCTGGCCTTTTGAGGACACAGTGAGAAGACTGCCACCTAATAACCAGGAAGTGGCTCCTCAGCAGACACCTAATCGGCCAGTGCCTTGATCTTGAGCTCTCCAGCCCCCAGAGCTGCGAGAAATAAATGTGTGTTGTCTGAGCCACCCAGGCTAATGGCAGCCTTGTTGTGGCACCCCAAATGGACGAAGACAGTATGATATATCCTATAGGAAAAATGATCCAGTTTTTCCAACAAATCATTAGCATGATTTAAAAAAAAAAAAAAAAGGGTGGGGTTGGGGGAATACAGTTAAGGAATGAAAGCAACTTAAAAGAAATTTGAATATGGACCAGGTACCAGATGATCTTAAAAAATTATCATTAATTTTGTTAGACATATAATTTTGTTAATGGCATGGTGATTTTATTTTTAAAAATTAGGACCTTTTCAGTTTGAGATGAGTATGAAAGAATTTACAGGTCAAATGACAAGTGGCTAGAATAGACTTGAAAATACTTCAAGAAAACATGTCTAGGGAGGGGTTGATAAGAGAAGATTGGCAAAATTTAATAGTTGTTAGGTATATGAAGATCCATTATACCATTCTTTCTACTTTGTATATGTTAGAAAATTTCTGTAATAAAAAGATTGATTTTCTTGTTGAAATACACAATATATCTTAAAAGTTTAATGTGCATATTTGGCTGAAGAATTAGACATATTACATATGCTCTTGGATAAGAAAATTATAAAATACCCTCTTACTACAGAGACAGATTGCTAATAATGTGATCAGGTCTTCTTCTGTCCTAAATTTTATTACCTGACATTGCTAAATTATAATGTGATCAGGTCTTCTTCTGTCCTAAATTTTATTACCTGACAAATAAAAACCAAACTATTTATTTAAAACTAAAAGTTTTACAGATAAGCTTATTTCCCCTTCAACATTAAAGAGATCTCTTTGTGGTTAAACTACAGAATGTTCATCTAAAAAAAAAAAAAAGGTTACAGAAGAGTGAAAAATAATAAATGGCCTGTTGTATTCCAGAGCCTACTTCCAAAACGGCTAAAAATGTATTTACTCATTGGCTACAACGTCAGTGTCAACTATTTACTTAACTATGATGTGAGATGACCAGCAGTGACAAACTGCTTCTTCTGACATTTAAATTCATTTTATAAATACTATTTCCTTTTGTATATTAGCCTTAAGACTACAACATGTAAGCTGAAAAGCAGTAATTTCTGAAAATAAAATTGCACATCTTTTTATAGAGATCATTAGCCAAACAGAATAAAATATCTACATATATAACTAGAAAGAAAAACTTTGTGCACTATTACTATCAAGAGGATACTGATAAAGGTAAAATAAAATTTAACTGAATGCTATCACCATATACCATGTATTTCACAATGTTTGAATCAGCAAATGTATAAATGTGCATGCACCCATGCATATGCACAATAGTGACCTGTACATGAAAGCTCTGATTACTTTCACTCATCTGTTCAAAAGTATTCTTACTTTCCACTAAATGGTGACAAATGGCTTTGCATCCTAGATACTTGTTCCACTAGAAAATATTGTTTATAAACAAAGAAAATGAATTTAGAAAGAAAACAACAGATACATAATCAAATATTAAGAAAACATGAATATGGTCTCATTTTCAAAATAACCTTCCCGGGCGCCTGGGTGGCTCAGTCGTTAAGCGTCTGCCTTCCGCTCAGGTCATGATCCCGGGGTCCTGGGATCGAGTCCCACATCGGGCTCCCTGATCGGCAGGAAGCCTGCTTCTCCCTCTCCCACTCCCCCTGCTTGTGTTCCTGCTCTCGCTCTCTCTCTCTCTGTGTCAAATAAATAAATAAAATCTTTAAAAAATAAAATAAAATAAAATAACCCTCCCTAGGGGCACCTGGGTGGCTCCGTCGTTAAGCGTCTGCCTTTGGCTCAGGTCATGGTCCCAGGGTCCTGGGATAGAGCCCCACATTCGAGCCCCACATCAAGCTCACTATGCTCAGTAGGAAGCCTGCTTCTCCCTCTCCCTCTCCCTCTCCCACTCCCCCTGCTTCTGTTCCCTCTCTCGCTGTCTCTGTCAAGTAAATAAATAAAATCTTTAAAAAATAAAATAAATAAAATAACCCTCCCTAAAAGATTGAAGAAAACCGAAACAAAAAGAGTATCTTTTGTTTCAATCTGAATTGACATCAATTCACGTATCAAAGAAAATATAAATAATTCAACAACATTCAAAATACTGCTTTAAGTAAGCATGAGATAGAAATGATTATCAAGATACCACAGATTAATAGCAATATTACTATAAGGCAGTATCATTCCTACACAAGAATTACCTACCGAAGTAAGTTCTGAGGATGCGACCCATATCACATCAACAAGTAGGAGAATAACAATCCCAAGAGCCATTCGCCTGCGCTGAGTGAAACCACTGCTCTGGGAATTCATCCGGTTCATGATAAATACACACACCATTTGCAATCTGTTTTTTAGAAAATACAGATCACATTAGAGAAGATTTTTGAAAAATAACCGTAGAAAATGAGAAAATTAGTATAAGAGAAACATCTGACATTTCTTAGCTGATGTTTGAAAGTCACACAGTAAATTAAAAGTGGAGTTTACCTTATTTTAAAGGCTTTTCTAAGATCTTCAAGAACAATGCCTGAAAACTTGGCAGATCTGAGTCTAAAAGGAGGTGAAGAACTCAGCGCACCTAAAAACAGCCATAAAAAACGATGCTTATAAAAACATCACTCAAAATAAGGTTCATCACATCTTTTTTTACCCTTAAAATTCAAAATGAACAAATGAAAGAAAAAAACCAAAATGTGCTAACTATAATTGACATTTTTCTCTAGCCTCGTTATTCACTGTATATTTCAAATTACACTCAGAGAAGTATAGGGTACGGAAAAAAAAATCTTCAATAAAAGGCAATACTTAAGAGTAGTCAGCTACTGGCAAAAAGCTCCTCCGAGTTTCGTAAATACAGAAACTCCATTCGCCTCTCCCTACAGAGGAATCCACGCCAAGGGACAATGTCTAGACTCGCGCCTGTTCTGTCTTTTCTGTCTTCGATCTCTTGGAGGGGAGTTTGATTATTTGAGAGGAAGTGATTTGTTGTGAGTCTTGGGGGTGCGTTTCCAATCGCCTTACGTGGTAGAGGGAGAGGATACTCCACGCTCCCCCACCCACCCTTGCCTGTCACTGCATCTAGTTTCTTTAGATCCAAAGAGTAATTCCCCAGACGAGTGAGGAAACAGCTGTTAAAGGGAATCCTCCTCTTCTTTTGGGGGGGGGGGTTAAGCCGGTGACACCTTCCCCAGGGAGTGAGAAAAAGCGCGGAGGCGGCGCTCGAGCAGCTCCCACTAGTGTCGGGAGTCCAGAGCGGACTCACACGCCCCTGTCAGCCTTCCCCTCACGACGCCCCTTGGAGACCAATACCATTTCGGCCAGGAAGCTTCCACCGACTCCAACAGCTAGGGGTGGGGCCGTTCGTGGGCACTCGGTCGCGGTAGGGGCTCCGAGGAATTTCGGGGCCCTCCCCTGACTGCCTACCTGGCCTTCCTGCCCCGCGATGGTGTCGTGGCGGCACCATGAGCGGCCTCGGCCCGGACCCGCCGCCGCCCAGCGCCACGGCCGCGGCCTCACAGAGCTGTCGCGGTGCCTGACATTGCGCTGGAAGGAGGCCCAGCCCCTGAAGCCGCCGTGTCCCTCGGGGCGAGACTGCGGACGCCACCCGGCCCCACTCGGCCCGGGAGGGCGGGGAGCGGGCGAGGGGAACGGACCGCGCAGAAAGCGATGGCCGCGGAGGCCCGGAGCTGGACCCCGGCCCCGCCCCCAGCCTGCCAGCCAGCCCCGCGGCCCCGCCCCCCCAGCCCGACGGCGGCGGCGCTGGGGATACGTCACGGCGGCGCGACGGCGGGCCGCGCGTGGGAGCGTCTCCAGGGTGACTCGGCGGCGTGGAGTGGTGTACTGTTGGGAGCCTGGCGCAGGGCTCGAAGATGGGGCAGTGACGCTGGGAGGAGCGGAGATAGAAGTAAAGCAGGGCGTGGTGGAAGAAGAGGGAACCGAGAGTGGGTGGGTGGGTGGGGCGGAATGAAGGATGAGGGAGGTGGCCGGGGCTCCAGATGGCCCCGCCCCAGAAAGAAAGCTAGCAACTCCATTTCCTACAAAGTTCGGCCACGAAACTCTCCTTATCTCTTTCTCGAAGAGAGGACCGAAAAGCAAAGTGGCCTGGGAGAATTTTGCTCTCTGGAAACTTGTTTGTAAACTAGATCCCAGCTCTCGGAGTAAGCGATGTCCCTTGGGGAAAGCTACTTCACCTCCCCGGCCCTCAGTTTCCTCATAGAAATGACAGCACCTGCCTCATCTGTCTATACTATACACTCATATGTATATACACACACATATATGCCAGGATTACATTAGTTTACAAATGTGAAGGGCTTAGATCAATTCATGGCATATAGTGAAAACTCCACAAATGTAAATAGTAAGCTGTATAGATTTTTTCTTAACTCTCTTTTGAATATCCCATAAGAAAAAATGCTTGGCCAACGTCCAAACTTGTATTCAGAAGACAAAAACAGGACTAGACGGTTGTGTAATTTAACTGGAGTTATCCACCACCATCGCATTTTTAACATCTTCAGATGGCACAAAGAAATTTTCTTAACTTTCATAGTGACAATATAGTGCATTTCTTAATTCTCTTAAATCTCTTGTTTCACTAAATACATATTCAAATAATGAAACAATACCAATGGACATTTTTTTGTATTGATACAATCAGTTTCTAACAAATGGTCAGCATCAAGCACCTAATGAGTCATTCAGAAGCCTATCATTCAGAATTAGAAAAAGCTTAACCATGTACTTGAAATTACTACTCAGGGGAAATTTGGTTGCATACATTTACCAGCATCCTTTTTATTCTTATCTCTTTTTTTTAACATTCTTTAGAGTGTCAAGCTCATACTGTGCTACATTTATGATATATAGACTGAAAGAATAATAGCAGTATAAATACCTCTCAAGATCTAAGGGTCAGGAAAACTATGTTCTAATTCTTAATCTGACCACAATTTGTTATGTAATCTTGAGGATTATTCTACTCTCAATTTTGCCTGAGTTCTCCATCTATAAATATAGGGATACTGTTAGCTTTTTCTTAAATAATGTAAATGATAGTACTTTATAAATGTATGTAAATGCAAGTTACCATTATTACCACCTACTGCCAGAGCATCTGCTAAAGGACAAATGCTGTGATATTCTTGTGATAATGAAGATAAGGTAATTCTAGACCAGCTGTCTTCAAGTAGTCCCCAACCCTAGGTTAATCTTCCATTACCATTTTCTCCCTCTACCCTCAGAAGGAAATTCCACTGTACTCCTGTGTGACAACAGACTCTGGTGTGGTTTCTGTGCTGTGACACCATCCTGATCTCAGGCATTTCTTTCTTTGGACCCCAAGTGCATATCTTGCTTGAGGATAAATCCTCCATAACTTCCAAGTCTTGCACCAAATGCCAGCTGTCTGCATTTTCAAATATAAGTTCCACAAAAGCAAGGATTTTTGTCAATATCATTCTCCACTATATCCTCACCATCTAGAATAGTACTTAGCACAGAGATGGCAGTCAATATTTGTTGAATGAACTTGAACTTCCTGCTGTCTCTTGACCTTTATACCTAATTCCTTTCCCAAGTCTCCATTTCTGTCAGTTGGTACCACCTTTATTCTAGTCTCACAGGCTTAAAATGTTGATCTTTTATTTTTATTAATTTCCTTTTCACTCTTCAAAGTTGATCACGCCTCACTGAGATCCCTCAATAGTAGACCCTTAAGATTCATCAGGTATTAAGTCTTGACACCTTCAAAAAAAAAAACAAAAAAACACCCGAAATATAAAGAATATGATTTCTCCTGTAAAGAACATATGCCACAATATGAATATGAAAGCAAAGTTGTCTGTGTACAGAGAGTCACTAGCTAACTCTCCTGTACACCAGCCTCAAAATTCAAGCTCTAGTAAAATTATAAATAATTATGTCATGAATGTGTGAAGCCTCTAGTTAAGTATTGAAAGCACCTATAAATAACAAAAATGGAAATAAATGAAGAATACCCAAATGAGAATAAGCAAAGGATATTTATTCAGAGCTTGCTATAGCAAGTGGTCAGCCACCATCACTTGAATCGGGCCAAGACCCAAAAGCAGTCGGGGAGTGTAAAGCTTTACAGTAAGAAAAGGCTTCGGGGATGCCCTGATAGCAGGTTTTTGGCACTAGGAAAGCTAACTAGAAGCAAGACATCCTATGTGATTGTTTAGGAGTGAGTAAATGCCTTTCTCTAGTTGGCCCTAGGTTGGAAAGGGCAAAAACTAAGGAAGCTGGCAGTTACTGATCAAGTCCTGGCCATTTGGGGCTAGTTGCCACAGAGATTGTGGTTTTGCCTTTCTGGACAGACTGCTGCAGAGGTTGTGAGTCAGAGTTCTATTTTTATATATGCTATGGTCATTGTCCCTTTGTATTTTCAGTCTCTCACAAAAGTCTACTATGTATCATCCTATTCTCTGCAGTACCTACCAGAATGCTGGTCACATAGCTCAATAAATAATTGATTTTATTTGCTTCCAAGGCATAGTTTAATGGATTGAGATTTGCAATTTTAAAATTTTGTACATAAAAGACTGCTTTTGAATGTGTCCCTTTCTGCATTTTATGGGGTAAATCATGTGCTACAAGGAAAGTCATGAACTTAGGAGGTTCTGAGATACCTCAGATACAAGGGTTTATTGAACACAACCAAGTCTTAGATTTTAAAGCATTTCAAGGCAGATTAGAGGAGCAATATGTCAATGGAAATTTGAATAAAATTTCTAAACATCTATAAAATAAGCATGCCAAGACAGTGCTTGATTGATGATCATTTATTGCCATGTCCTTGAGGGCATGGACTAGAGCTCTGAAGGCATTATCGCTTCAAGCAGATCTAGATAGAGAAGGCTTTAGGAACAGGTGGAATCTGAACTTCATTTTAATCATGGGTAGGATTTTGATGAGGGGGTAGGGAGAGGAATAATATCTAAGAGAGTAAAAAAATGTGAGCATAGGGGAGGAAAAGTTCTTTTTCCTTTTACCCTCCTAGATTCTCCTGCTGGGACCCTGTAAAATTGGACTGACAAAAGACAGACTGACAAAAGAAAAACAGTTTACTAATGTGTACAGCTCACATTCAGGAGAAACCTCAATGAAGAGTAACTCAAAGGGGTGGTTAGTACTTGGGCTAATATAGCATCTTAACAAAACAACAATAATTTGTGGAGAAAAAACAGAAAAAGTTTTCAACTTTCAAAAGCACTAAACCATTGGAAGGAATATATGAGAAAAATTAATGGAATAAAGGTTTGTGCAGGTCCATCTTTGCACTGACCTAAAGATGTTCTCCATGGCCATGAAACTTCCCAGGGCAAGGGGATTTCTGGCAGTCCTCATTTTTCAGAAGTTTCAGCTTTTAGTCAGATAAAGGAAACCTCAGGAAGGCTTCTTTCTGCATCTATTAATTCTCATTTACTCAAAATAATCCTTATGCCAAAGTAGCATATTTTGGGGTGGCATATTCTGGTCCCCTACATGAGCAACTGGAAAAGGTGTGTCCAGAGGCAAGTTATAAAACTGATTAGGCAGAGCACAGCATATATGTAAAAAAGCAATGGGAAATGAGACAAATGAGGTGAGTTCTAGAGTTGCAGCATGCTCTGGAAACAAGCCCAGAGAGGTTGGACTTTTATTTTGTATATGATGGAACCTAAGAATTGCAAATAAGTGAGAAACACTTTTAGTAAATCAGAAATTACTGTCCATTAGACATTTACCAGCATGGTCATACTATGGAGACACTGCATAAGACAAGGAGCCTGCCTTCAAGGAATTCATGTTATAGGCAAAACTGATTATGTAGGGCAGGTATTTGCTAGACTAGAAGGTACTGAATCTAAATGTACTTCTCTATTACCGTATTAGCACTGTGTACTGTGCTGGCCACCAAATTGATGCTTATTTTGAAAAGGGTCTTACTTGAATATTACTTGCTTTAATATCTTCCCATTGAAGGTATAATTGTCAAGGTACTAGACAAAATACTAAAGGCCATTTAACTAAACCTGAGGAACTTAAAATGGCACTGTCCATGCCTATCCTGTGCCTTCAATTAGCTGACCAGGCCCTGGCCAGCTAAGTGACCCATGCCAGCAGGCTAGAGCACGGTAATGAGCTCACTGAGAGCCATATCCACTTCCCAACTTGATCTTGACCTCAGCTTCTAACTTGTTCTCTTATCTCTCATCTTTGGCTTATGCTCTGTTTGATACTTGATATCTGATACCACTCATCAAGAACAGCCTTGGCTCTTCCTTATCATTTGCACCAACACCTGAGCTCCCATCTGCTGCTAGACATTAAGTAAATAACCCAACCTGAGCCTCGTAGCCCCTGGAACCCTCCCTCAGCCCATGTGGCCCAGGTACAGCCTAGGTTGCCTCAACTCCCAACAGGGAAGATTTGAAAGAAAAAACAGACTGAGGCTAAGACACTTGTAATGGATGTGACTATTCTTGTTTTCTCCTGCTTTGAGCAGAGGCCCCAAAACACAGAATCAACAATAGATAGCAAAAGACAGTTAAGTTTTAAGGTGAGGTCTCAGACTATGGGGGACTGATAAAGAGGTATCCTACTCCAGTTTTACCATCGGCACACTCCTTGTAGCCAGACTGTATATGTAGACTAAAAATCCATGAGAGGATTCAAAAGATGGGAAAATAATTGCTCGAAGAGAGTTGTCACGTGATCTGAACGTCCCCATCAGCACCTCCACTGGAAATTGGGAGGTATGCTTCTCTCCTCTTCTAGCCAACCAAGGGAGGAGGGGAGGGCAGGCACTTCAAGGAA